AGATATATCATATATGTTTGTTTTTCACACTATGCCAGTATATTGTTCCATACTGGCCAGAAATATCAAGGGTGTATTATTGTAGCTAGAAGTGAAACAGTGTTCTGCCCTAGTTAGGGTCAGCAATCTGTATTTAGATTAACTGTCAACAAAGCTTAAAACATGTCAAACTGGTTGTGTGGCTGGAAATCTTGTTGTGAATCATTTCATGTATGCAGATGACTTGGTTGTTTTCAATCCAAGCACCGCTAATCTCCAGCAGCTACTCAACATCTGTTCAGTGTACGGTGTGGAGCATGATATAAAGTATAATGCAACCAGGAGTGTGGTCATGATCGGCAGGACCAAAGAAGACAAGCACAAGATATACTGACTTTTGCCTGTCAAATGTTGTTTTGTCTGTTACAACAAAAATTAAAATATCTTGGGCATATCATCACTGCGGACATGGCAGATGATGATAATACGTATAGACCGTGTAGGATCCTCTATACTCAAATACTCTTATGGGTAAGTTTGGTTCTTGTACAAAAAGTTGTTATTGTGTAAATCATATTGTACACACATTGTGTACGCAGCCCAGCTCTGGATTAATTACAAAACATGCTTTTGAGGAGGCCAACATGCTTGGATGAGTGCGACGGAGATGTTTGTTACTACACGAGTGAACACTTTGCAAGCTGCACTAAGAATTTTAATTATTTTATATATATATTTACCTCCGCCAAGGAGGTTATGTTTTTGCCGGTGTTTGTCTGTTTGTTTGTTTGTTTGTCTGTTAGCAACATAACTCAAAAAGTTATGGACCGATTTTGATGAAATTTTCAGGATTTGTTGGAAATGTGAAAAGGAAGAACTGATTTCATTTTGGGGGTGGATCACTTTGAAATTTTAGTTAACATTGTGGTAAATGGGGCCAAAAATTTTGTTTCTCAATATCTCGATTAATTATTGACCAAACCCCATGAAATTTGACTCAGGGATGGACAATGGGATCCTCTTTCATATTCCAAATTGAAAGATACGAGACAAATATTCATGGAAAACACAATTAATATGAGGGGGACTGTAGTCCTTTGCGGAGGTCTGCGCTCTCTGAGTGCTTTTCTAGTTTTATATAAATTTATCATTGCATTTACATAGTGCCTTTCAAGATACTCAAAGTGCTTTACAGTTCATTATTCATTCACTCAACACTCAATGCCAATCTGTGCCATCGGTCCCTCCAACCGCCACCACCACTCACGCACACACCAGTTTCATACTAGGCAATGTGGGTGAAGTGTCTTGCCTAAGGACACAATGACGCCCCCCTGTGGCACTTGATTTTCCCAGTGGTTTTTCACTGTCACTCACAGATATGAGATTCAGTTCAATACGATTTCAGTCCAATATTTGGAGACACTGGTATGGCTGTCTTTTAAAAACATAAATATTTATTGTTTTGTAATGTTACTGTCCTTGTCTGTTTTAAAAATGAACCATGAGTCGGAATAAAGATGAACTGAACTGATTAATATTCCCGATACCTTCAAACCTACAGTGTTCATTAATATTCCCAATACATAACAAAACTACACCATGTGCGACACATGATGACAGCCGAGCCCAGCGTGAGGCCGGGCTCTTCCATTAGATACACGCAGCAGATCCAGTTTATGATTTTTAAATATGTCCGTGGGATACGAGTGCGCTGTTGCCGCCGCCGACAGCACCCCCCGCTGCTCGGACACCTCCCCGGGGCCCCTCTGCCTCTGTCTCCGCGCTCTCCCTAATGCGCCTGTGTATTCTGGGACGAGACTTTTATCACTCCAACTGGCAAATAGCTGCAGTCCATGTTTGTGAACTCCTCTCCGACTCCCATGTTTGTGTCTTGGAGGGATCTAGTACTACCGCTGAATTTCATTAGCGCCCGGCCGGCCCCCAGCGCTGGCGTGTCATCTCCTGTCTGTGTCTGAGCCCCCTCCTCCGTCCCCCTCCTCCCTCCTTCCCTCCTTCCCTCCTTTCCTCCTTCCCTCCAACCATCGGCCCCCGAACCCCGCCACGGCTCTGCTCCCCGGGTCGGCCATTTTTCACCACCCTGTTCCTAAATCATTCTGTTCACTAGCCTCGAGCGTCTCCTCCTCGCCGCTCTCTTTTGTCCTCTCTCTCTTCTCTCAAATCTTCCTCTTCCCTCCAGTAACCCTTCCTCTCCTCTTTCTAAACTCTTTCTGTCTCTTACCCCCTCTTTCCTCTACATCTCTTTCTCGGCTTCTTCCTCCCTTCCCTTCCCTGTCATCTGAATCTCTCTCTTTTTCTCTCTCTCCTTCCTCTTCCCTCCTTTACCCATTTCTCTCTCTCTTTTCTCTCTTCTTCCTCTTCTCCTCTTCTTTTTATCCCTTACTTCCTCTTTCCTCCCCTACCCTTTCCTCTGACTCTCTCTTTCCTCCATTCCCTAATCTTTCCTCTCTCTCTTTTCTCTCTTTTTCCTCTCCTCCTTCTAAACTCTTTCTATCCCTTACCCCCGCTTCCCTCTCTCTCTCTTTCTCTGCTTCCTCTTCCCTCCCTTACTCTTTCCTCTCCCTCTCGCCTCCCTACCCTTTCCTCTCCCTCTCTTTCTCTTTCCTCCTCCCTTCCCTATCTGTTCCTTTCTCTCTTTCTGTCTCTCTCTCTCTCCTTCCTCTACCCTACCTCTCCCTCTCTTTTTCTTCTCACTCCTTATCTTCCTTCCTTCTAAACCCTTTAATACCCTCTCTCTCCTTCTCTCTGCCTTCACTTTCTTTCCTCCTTTTCCAACCTCCCTCTCTTTTTCTCTTTTCTATCTTTCCTCTCTGTCTCACGCTAGTCTCCCTCGCTCCTCTTCTTTGTTTTTTCTCGCTCCCTTCATCTCTTTTTTTTCTCTTTCTCCCCTCTCTTCCTTCTTTTCCCACTGCCTTCTCTCTGCCATCTCTTGCTTTATTTCTGCCTTCTCTCTCTTTCTCTCTCCTCGCTCGTCTCTTCTTCCTCCTCTCACTCCATTTCTTTCTTTCTCTCATGCCTCTCCCTCCTTCCTTCTATCTTTCTCACTCTCCCTCTCTTCTTTCTTTTCCCACAGCCCTCTCTCTCTTCTTCTCTCCACCATCTCGTGCTTTCTTTCTGTCTCTCCTCTTCCCTCGCTCCTCTCCTCTTCCTCCCCTCCATGTCTCTCAGGGTAAACAGTGTTTCGCCTGTTGAACTTGATAATTTCGTTTTTTCTCACCACACAGACTACACATTTTCCACTCTCCCAGGCCTGGAGAAGTCAGTTAATGATGAGTTTTGCAGCCATTAGGGAGAGCGCCGCAGAACCGAACCAAAAAATACAAACATACACAGCCTATTCACATTACTTTAAATCAGAACTCAAGCGCGACAAGCAGAAGAAGGTGTTTCATTAACAGACTATAATACGAATTCAAAGGTTAATATAATGTTTTGTTAAATGAAAATGTGAAACTAACTAAAACACATTTATTTACACACTTGTATTACCACCATAAGAATTTGAATGATAGGAATAAATTGGTCCACAAATGATGCTATTTTTTTCTATAAATGGTCACTGGCAGAAATATGAAGTTGTGCTTTGCAGCTAATGGCGTCGACATTCTCTTGAGTGTGATGTTAACTAGAGGCACTGCTCTGTCTGGAGCTAGACTTTAATCTGAGTTTCATTTATACGCAATCTGACTGTAAAGAACTAGAACATAAAGACTGTATTCAGGTGAGATTATAATCTGAGAGGAACTGGAGTATATCAAAAAATCAGGCCAGGACTAACACCAAAATTAAATGCACATAAGTTAGAGGAGTAGATCTATGGAATAGTCTGGATGACAAGTTAAAAGAATCAACATCAATAAAATTATTTAAAAAATCTAATTTAATTTTATAGAGGAATACAGAGTGCTAGAATGATTTAAAGACATATTTTGACTACATAGAGAGACAATAAAATAATAATGTAGATTTGGTAGGCTACAAAAGCAGGCGAGTGTGTAGGATAAATTAAGATGATTTTGAAGGATTTTTTAAAAATTGCTATAGCTATTACTATTGTTGTTGTTGTAGTTGTTGTAGTTCTAGTTGTAGGGGGGCAGATAACATAAGATTTCTCTTCTTTCTGCTCCCTTTCATTCATTTCTTGTATGTCTGATGTTGTTGATGTCTCAATGTCTTTTTATACTTTATGAATGAAAAATAAATAAATAAAAAAAAAATAGTAGTTGATGTAGTTATTGTAGTGTAGTTGTTGTAGATGTAGTTGTGGTTGTTGTTGTAGTTGTAGTAGTTGTATTTGTTATGGTAGTTGTAGTTGTAGTTGTAGTAGTTGTAGTTGTGTGTTGTAGTTGTAGTAGTTGTGTGTTGTAGTTGTTGTAGTTCTAGTTGTAGTAGTTGTAGTTATTGTAGTGTAGTTGTTGTAGTTGTTCTAGCTGTAGTTGTTGTCGTTGTAGTTGTTGTACTTGTAGTTGTTGTAGTTGTAATTGTAGTTGTTGCAGTTGTTGTTGTTATTATTGTGTATATATTATTTTCTCTGTGCTTTCCAAGTTGTTGCTTGTTGTTTGCTGACAGCCGTATTCTTGGCATTGTGATTTGTAAACAGGATTAGGCATTCAGAAGTGATTTTACTTCAGCCACTTCATGTGAAGTGTTTGGAACAGTCTATTAAGTACATGACTGAAGACAATAAAGTAGTACTACTTTACTACTACTACTACTACTACTACTACTACTACTACTACTACTACTACTACTACTACTACTACTACTACTACTACTACTACTACTACAGGACCAAGAATGCTCAAACTGATCAGAGGCTCCTGAAAATGTGTTGTGTAAATAATTTTTTATAATTTAGTTGTATTTTTTTTTAGTTTAATGTTCAGTTGTTTGGCAATGGTGCATTGTGTCACCATGAAAACTGCAGAACATTCCACCACAGACACACATGCAGAAAACCCATTGCAAAGTATGAGTAAGGACCTGTCATGCAATCTGACCTTGTTTCCGAGGTAGAGGCCGGGTGCGTTCCAGTAGTAGGTGCGGCCCAGGTCGTGCTCCACGTCCGAGTGCCTCACGCTCAGATAAGGAGGAGTCTCTCTGTGTACGGACCAAACTGTAGAACCACTGTCGCCCACCAGGTGCCACCCCAACAGACTGCTCTCCTGCACACAACACATACAGCAGAGACGAAAACATGTACTTATTCAAATGTTTATTAAATGCTCTTGTATTAAACGTAACAGAACAAAACAATACTCAGGGTAGAGTTTTTCGTGATGTCACCAACTTCTTGAAAGTGCAGTGGCCTCTGAAGGCAGTACACACATCGTACATGCATTTTTCACCAGAAAGTTGTAAATGTACCTACTTTGCACTAAAATTGCCAAAAAATGACTAGGAAGTAAGGATGTAACAATACCAATAAACCAAAATATCACGATATCGAATCATCAAAAGTCTCACAATATACTGAATTACAAGTTCCTTTGCTTAAATACATGGTTTTATTGTAGCAACAGCTTATAAACATAGGGAACTACATATCCCATGATTCATTTCAGCGCAGAAAACATGAAGAAATATGTTTTTTACTTGAATTCTTGGGGTTATGATGGAAATAATTCACACCAAAATCTTGTCAAGGTATTTTAAAAGCAAAAAAGCATCCTATCTACAATTATATTAGCCTCTCCAAAATATCGCAATAAATATCGTACCGTGATAAATATCGTACCGTGAGATGCATATCGTGATAATACTGTACTGAAAGATTTGGATATTGTCACATCCCTACTAGGAAGTATAGATAATGTTATTAAAACACTGTATACACTTTATATATAAATGTATTCAGTGTTTAGTTCTACTGTAGGTTCAAACTCAAAATTCTGAAACTAAAACTTTAAACATTTATTCATGGACCCAAATATTATCATTTTAGTAACAGTTCATTAACCATCAAATGCCATTTTAGTTTCAATCCAGAATCCTCCGCAGTTCTGACAGCTACTTTTATCCAATACAAACGTGCAATGTTAAGGACACTGTCCCCGTCACCATTGTGATTCTGACATCAGCTTCTTAATCACATCGCCCTATAGCACTTTTACTCACACATTCCCTCATACTGCCGCGACTTACTGACAAGTGGAGGCATTACAGAGGCAGCAGCAGCAGCAGCTACATGTGTCAAATTGACCTTGTTGAATAAATGAAGCGTCAGATTAGCTTTCAGCAGATCACTGGTCCTTGAGGAAACACAAATTAAGTCACTTGTCATGTTTAGTGTAAATGGCTGCATGATCCGAGCGGCTGCTGTGTTGACATATCATTATTGCTTCGGCCAAAAATGTATATAGGTTATTGTGGGGTAGTCGGTCTTTTAGCAAGGTGTCTAACAATATATAGTAAGACTTTCTAGACTATTTTATAACATTATATCTTAGAATCTACACTGACACAGTTAGTTTAATGACCCCTGAACCAGACTAAGGCCTGCATGCCGACTCTAGCCCTCCAGCACCTTTGCCCGCCACCACTTGAACTGGCCCTATGAGGCAATCCTTAAAAGTTGTCATGGCCTATTTTTGAAATTACTTTTTGGCAAATAATAGCACATCTACATCTTGTTTTTTTGTTGTTGTTTTTTTCAATTAAAAGTGATATTTATATGAAGTATTTATATTTAAATTATTAGATGATGTATTTACATTTGCGCTGAATTTTCGATATCTGACAAGCTCGAAATCAAACAGTGACAGTCAACGCTCGCGATTTCTGCAGTGCAGTTAAGGGCAGCAAAATGGCGAGTGTTAAAGTACGAAAACGTGACAAAGAGTGCAAAGTTTTCAAAGAACAGTGGATGCCCGATTATTTTTTGTTCAGTGTAAGGACCGTGCAGTTTGTCTGATATGTAAAGAAAGTGTGGCAGTTTTCAAAGAATATAATCTGTGTCGTCAGGGTCATACAGTTCTGTTATACGGCCGACCCGACCCCCATCACACTCAGGAGCGTTAAAGAGAAAAAAAATTTGATGACCCCTGCTCCTAGTTACAAGATTTATCTGAATATATTCTGTGTATTGTGCATAAAACTGGCAACAACATTTTTTTTTCTTATATTGTGCAGCTATACTTTCCATAAATTCAGAAATAATGGACTTTGGAAAGACAAGGCTGAAAATACTTCCGATACTGAGAACAACTGAGGACATAAACACACACGTTTTGACTTAAATACATGTTCTATCTCATTTTAAATCTCAGAATGTCCATAAATGACAAGGTTTATATTCATAATGCAAAAATGTAATTTAGGTTTGCTGTTATAAGGTATAAGTTCCTTAAGTAGTTTAAAGAAAAGTCACCTATTGGTTGTTATCAGGTATTGACAGAGCCCAGTATCAATATTGGAACTAGAAATGAAAAATCTGGATCGATGCACCTCTAGACGCTATAGCAAGCTTTTTATTTAGTCAGTTAAGTATTTTAGTACATTTTCCATTTCCATTTTTGCAATATAAGGCCATAACCATATCATTTACCGCTAACACTTGGTATATTTTTTGTGCTCACCAGGTGTGACTTTATCTCAAGGCCTCATCAAAATACATTCAAAGATTTTCACACCTATGTCACACGTCAAGCAGGAGCCCTCACAACCTTGACAAGCACCATGTTTTTTTCCTCCTCTTAACTCCTCAAAGATTTTTTTTCGCTTGCTTATGTGTGTGTGTGTGTGTGTGTGTGTAGAAGACAGAGTAGTAGCACACATCGTACCATTGCAATTAACCTGACCTTGGCTTCCCCTTTCCCCCCCCTCACACACACACACACACTGGCCCTATCGCGGTCTAAATCGGAGCTGTCGTCCTGTCAGCGTCTCCTCCTCCCTCTTCTTCTCATCACATGTCACTCAAAAACCTTTTCCTCTTTTTTAGTCCCTCGCTCCTCCTCTCCTTCCTGCTGTCATGTTTTTGGGGCTTGTCCTTGTTCTGTGTAACCAAGACTTGATTTTGATGCCTTTATTTTCACCTTTCTTGTTTTGGTTAAAGCTTCAATTTTGGCCCAAATGTCTGTGTAATTTTGTTTTGCATTTCTAAAAATCTGAAAGTATTTTATCAGAGTTTGGGTTGCCAGTGCCTTAACTTGGGCATGTATAAGTCTTTACATTTTTTCTCATTCTCAGTCAGAATTCACTCATTCAGCAGTGACAGTGGCAGAGTAGGTTAGACCAGTGGTCCACAACCTTTTTTGCGCCACGGACCGGTTTTATATCCGACAATATTTCACGGACCGGAGGGGGTTGGTTTTAAGTCCTGGCTAAATCCTTTTTTAGTTCTGTTTTAGACCTGTTTTGGTCTTTGTTTAGACCTGTTTTCAACCTGGTTTAGTCCTGGTTTCTTCCTAGTTTAGTCCTTGTTTTAGCTCTGGTTTAGTTCTGGTTTATTTCTAGTTTAGAGGCGCGGCCCATGTGGTGTACGGGAGGGGGGGACGGCATGGTCCACACGGCATGGTTAAGTCCTGGCTAAATCTTGTTTTAGTCCTGGTTTAGTCCTGGTTTTAGACCTTTTTAGACCCTGTTTTTGACCTGTTTTAGTACTGGTTTAGACCTGGTTTAGTCCTGGTTTTAGACCTTTTTAGACCCTATTTTAGAACTGTTTTTGTCCTGGTTTAGACCTGGTTTTAGACCTGTTTTATACCCTGTTTTAGACCCATTTTAGACCTGGTTTAGGCCTGGTTTAGACCTGTTTTAGACCAATATTAGATCTGGTTTAGACCTGGTTTAGATCTGGTTTAGTCCTGGTTTAGATCTGTTTTCATCCTGGTTTAGTCCTGGTTTAGTCCTGGTTTAGATCTGGTTTAGATCTAGTTTAGTCCTGGTTTAGACCTGGTATAGGTCAGAGTGGTGTACAGGAGGGGGGACGGTCCATGTGGCGTATGGGAGTGGGGGTTTGCCCCATAGCCCGGTACCAAACGACCCACAGGTTGGGGACCCCTGGGTTAGTCCACCAACTGGATGGTGAAACAGCAAATTCTGTTTCTCAGTTTCATTACATTTGGCATTTTGTCACAGTTTTTATAACCAGGTTTCTTGACTGGGCAGCTTACATACTGAATTGCTTTAGAACTTGCCAATTCACGCTAATGCACCCAGACCAAATGGTGTATAATTACTATAACATAAGTTTGTGTGCCAAGTGCTGAGTGTTAAGGCTTCCTGTAGTTTGATATTAGCGTCGCGTGCTAAAATATGAATGAGGCCAGAGATAGTGGAGTCACAGCCACAGTAGCATTTCTACAGTTGTATTGATGAGACTGCAAAAGCCTCAGAAAACAAAGCTCTCTAATTTCCCTGGTCTGGCAGTTTTGTCATGGCAGCGCTGGTGTCACTGCTGCTAAATGGTGTCGTCAGGTTTCCATAAGTAATAGTACCAGGAAACAGAATATTTATAGACTACAAGTCAATTGATTGGCATACGTTTTGCACATACAAGGCACAGTGGAACAATGTATAAGGTTTAGTCCTGGTTGTATTGATTGCTCACCTGACATAACCTGTAAAACATTTACTTTTTTAAATAATTTTTTTAGAGCCTCCACCCAAACTTACATCATGCCCTTTAAATTGTAAATAAAACAGACATTACGCAGTCACTTCACTTAATCACTTAATCCCAGTTTATAATATCATTCTCAGTCTATAATATCATTGTCAAAATCAATCTTTAAATTCACTCTCTCTCTTCCCTCCTCTCTACAATTTCAGGAACAGCTTACAGCAGCAGAACCACAGCCTCCTCAACTTCTAGGGGTGTAACAGTACACAAAAATCACAGATCGGTACGTACCTTGGCTTTTAGGTCACGGTTCAGTTAATTTTCGGTTCAGTATAGCAACAAAATGCAAAACCATTTGTGTGTTTATTAAACCAACAATTTGTTTTAACATTATACAAACGGGAAAATAAAATAAATGCAAAGTGCTGCTTGGTCATGCTAATAAATTTAATAAAATATTCTCAAATAAGCAAGAAATGTATGAAATATTATAAAAAATAAATTCCAGTAACAGTAAACAAATCTTTTCAAAAAGTAATGTGCAGCACTAACAGTTCCAGCATGAAGTTTTACAGCGAAAGTGAGGACCGGGGCGTGATGATCATAGTTTTGTGAGGATGCACATGGTTTGGAGGGACGTAGTCAAGGCGGGGTGCAATTGTCGTCAAGGTGGCCACCCTAACTATAAAGCGCTGCCACTCCAATTACGGACCAGTTACCTCAAGAATATTAAAGAGCTGAGTCTTCCGTGTAGCTGCACATGTAGTGGCAGAATGTAAAGACACACAAATTGCGTGAACTCACTTGCACACTGCCACACACTGAACCCATCATCCCGTACCAAAACTGTTCAGCACAAATACATGTACCGTTACACCCCTATTAACTTCCATCTCCTCCTCTTCAGCACCAACACTGTCTATATATGCTCACACCTCGCCCCATTTTCAAATGAACAATCCATAATCCGTCTCTACCTGCCTGAATCCCTCATCATTCTAGCAGATATTGTTGACATCTTATTCTGTGTTTGCCTTACGTTGTGATAGGCCCAGGTGGAGGCGAAGCACTGGCTGGACACGCCCATACAGGAGCACTTGTCACAGCCGCGCTGGTTGTCCCGCTGCAGGTTGTAAAAGCCCAGTTTGCAGCGGTCACAGTTAGGCCCCTCCACATTTTCCTGTAAAACACACAGTGACATTATAAGCCAGGCCTTTTATTATTATTACAGTAGTGTGAATGTGCAGGGTAAGATAATGATGACAGAGCTGGAAAGGTTAACATACACCACTAGGCTTCATGTGTGTATCACCTGAGGCTTCCATGCTTTTTGAAGACATTGCATCTACTTATTGATTTCCTGGAAACTGGTGCAAACCTTAACGGTCCTATATAAAACTAAATCAACTCTTGTGAGCTTTAAGCCGTGTTATAATGTTGTTAGATGAAACTAAACACAACTCCAGGTATATTTGTGATGAGGAAACCTAAAAAAACAGCCCTGTTTCTTGCGATAGCCTTTCATAATGTAATTTCTCTCATTTTTGTCGTCTGATTTTCTGCATTATTTACTGTTTTGTGCTTCAAATTACATTAACTTCAAATTATTAGACGTATTTCCTGACAGTTAATCTTTAAGTTACTTACCTGAGTAGTAGTTTTCCCAAATGCTTTCTTACTTTTTACCATTACTTTGGACTCCTATTTGGATAGTATTGTTTTGAAGTAACATTACTCCGACATGATATAAAATTATAGCTAAGCAGTGCCTAAGGAGTGCCTCGGATCTCTTCTTTCATCTAGTAACATTACTCTTACTTACTCACCTTTAGCGTGATGGGAATAAAAATGCTGATTATGATAATTGTTGTGTTGACAATGCCACGTACCTTACACACACAAGGAGATACACAGGGGTCCTCGTTGGTGCTTCCCTCTAAACTGCAGTTACAGCGCTGGCACAACGGGTAGTCCTTGTAACCCACCGCACACCTGCAAGACAAATGGCTTTAATAACCATAATAAACATGAGCGTCCAGAGGATTGGTCCCATCGCAGGCAGAGGTGATGGCAGAGGACTGTACGGTTGGGTGAGCGTTACAGACCAACCTGTCCCAAATAAAGTCCCTGAGATCAGCGTAAACGGGTGACAAGCACGCATGTGGAGCGGGTCTCCAAGGAAATATATTTACAAGTGAATGAGACGTTAAGAGACAATTAGGTCAAGTAATTTCAAAACTGTGCTGGTGTCATCTAAAGTAAGCTATTAAAATGTTAGATGATAGCAGTGGTAATTAGCATGACCAAAGTGCAAGTCCAGTGATTTGCGGCAATGAGAGTTAAACGTTGTGTTACTGATTTTTTCCCATGTATTTGAGCAAAGTTTGTCTTGTCCCAGTACAGGGATATTGTATAAGGAATCAGGAAATGTGAGCATTAATTAGCATTATCAAAAAAGCATTGTGAAAAACATTTAGAAACTCATCAAGGTGAATAATTAGTTATGATCAGAACATATAAGGTAATAAATTGGGATCATAACTTGGGATCACAGCAAACCATTAACAACTAGTCTGTTTTTCATGTTTTTAAGACACTAAAAATCTTTAAGGATCAGTTAAGGATCAAGTATTAGGATTAAAGGGACAGTTTGGACATAGTTTTGGACATAGGACCTCATTTCCTAGTGAGCCAGAGTGTTGGAGACGTGTGGAGACACTTTTTAAAATATTCCATCCAGTCCTTGTACTTACAGAGGTCGCTGGTGCTAGACTAGTGCATGTCAATGGTCATAGTTATCCTGACACTAAAAACAGCCTCACCCACTCCACAAAAAACCCGAAACAAATCTATTATAACGCCAGACTGTCGATGTGAATGTCTGTGTAGAATTTTAGAAGTACAACCAACCTTGCATTTGAAGGATTTATGTCTGAGCAGCAGTAGTGAGTTGTATTTCCTGATAGAAAGCTTGGTAGCTGCGGACTGATATATGAGAAAATAGTCCCTCAACATGCAACGATTCATGTGATGCAAGGTTAGTTTTATTCCAAACATTATTCTATCAACACAGACATTTACATCGACAGTCCGGCATTGTAATAGATTTGCTTCGGGTGCTTTGTGGAGTGGCGTAAGGGTGTTTTTAGTGACAGGATAACTATGGCCATTGACATGCACTAGTCTAGCACCAGTGACCTCTGCAAATACAAGGACTGGATGGAATATTTAAAAAAGCATCTCCACACGTCTCCAACACTCTGGCTCACTAGGAAATGAGGTCCTTTGTCCAAAATTGTCTCTTTAACTATATATTCTCCCACTGAGCCAAATTTTCTAAAAGCATGGGATATCTTACCATTTTTATTCAGATGACTGCCAAATTTACATGGCAGCAGCACCCTGACACCCCTCCTGCAGTGCTTGAGTGTCAAGGCTTGGTAGGCACAAATCTTTTTAAATCTTAATGAAGGCAAGACTGAAATTGTCATGTTTGGCCCCATGGACCCCCAAACTGATATTATGATATATGGATCCCTTCAAGGAACTAATTCGTCCCTCAGCCACCAACCTCGGCGTCACTGTAGACTGTGATTTTAAACTTAACAAGCAGGTCAATTCTGTTGTTAAATCCAGTTTTATCACCTTCACCATCTTTTATCCAAACTGAAACCTTTTTTATCTTTTAATAATTTTGAACAGGTCGTCCAAGATTTTATCTCTACTTGTCTGTGCTACTGCAATGCGCTCTACACAGGAATCAACCAAAACACATTTCATCGCTTGCAGTTAGTCCAGAACTCTGCTACGCGTGTTTTAAGAGAGCAAAAAGTGTGATCACATTACTCTAATTCTTGCGTCGTTGAACTAGCTTCCTGTTAATTTTAGAATTGATTTTAAGATTTTATTATTTGTTTTTAAAGCTTTGAATGGACTGGCCCCATAATACATCTCGGACTTCATCCAGATTTACACCCCCGCGTGTGTAAATAGTGATTTTAAACACATAGATACAAACAGTATAAACATAGAATAGAGTTAGATGGAGGTAGATAATTGACTGTGACAGCCCCAGTGTTGTGTTATGTAGGCCATTACTTCTCAATACTTACCCAATCATGATGAGATATTGATTTTTTTGCCTTATTAACTCTGTTCTTATTTTCTAATTAGATGTTATAGCGCACTGGCCATTATCAATTCAGTGCACCTGCAACTATTTAGACACTACCATTCCAATCATACAGTAAACAGAGAAAAGTGGAGGAAAAGAAAAGTGGGGTAATAGTTTTAATTAACCTTCTAAATTAAACATACTATTTCTGTCTAACCATAGTGACCTTTAGACAACTGGCATGCTGATCTTACCCTATATTTTTGACAATAAAGGGAACTGTAACAGGGAAAGGCAATATTCGACCAATGCTTCAGCACGAAAATATTTCAAACCAAAATGTAGTTGGTATTTTCCAGGATCATTGCACATGCTTTTATAGCTTTTATATCTTTAATCTGCAAATGTTTCACTGTCTCATGTCTCTATTCACTGATTGATGTGTGAGTGTATTCTATTACCTGGTAAAATAAATATATAAATTATAAATAATAAATATTAATAATATAATAAATAATATAATAATAAATCATAAATAAATGCATGAAAAAAAATAAAAAAGACGAGGGAGCTGATGTCACTGTGGACAATGTATGATTTCAATTAAATAAAATTATAGGGACTCGTTTTGTGTGTTCATATGGACAATAGCACACAGATGCCCTCATATTATATTTAGAAAAGCACTATATAAATAAAATGTATTATTACAAGCAGTAATAGTAATAGTAGTAGCATTAAAGGTCATATATTGTGCAAAATTTGCTCTTGTTATAAATGTTGTTACCTCATCAAAAACATACCCAGAGATGTGTTTTGTTTCATTCACGCATGTTTGAGTAATATTTAGTATTAGTCCATTTACATTTCACAAAAAATCCTCAGTTTCATGTGATTGTGATGTCATAAAGCAGTAGTTTTCAAGTAAACAGCTACCTTTTTACCTTTTGTTGAGCAGAGATTGGCAATTCTAGGACTGAAAGTGTTCAAATTATCCTAATAAAGGTGTATGGAGTTTAAAAACATGGAGCAGCTCTTACTATATTACCAAGGTATTTTTTGTTTGAGAGAAATGCAGGGTTTGTGTGTTAAATATGTGTGAATGAAACAAAACACAACTCCAGGTATGTTTTTGATGAGGAAACAACATTATGACAGATCAGAAAATCACATAATATAGGCCCTTTAATAGTAACATTCATATATTGTCATGGGTTCTGTTGTGTTCCTTCTTGTGTACATTGCAAGCGGAATCTTAATGGCAACTTTCCTGGTTGCACTTTCAGTCTAATTGGAGCAGACAACAGCTGAGAGGTTGAGCCACCTGTCAGCGTGACTGTGTGTCTGTGTACGTGTCTCACCTGTCACAGCGAAGACCCCCAAAACCCTCCTTACACTGACATGACCCCACTGGCCTCCCTGTCAATCACACAACAAAAACACAACCATTTTAAACAACAGGATCCTCGCCAAAGCACAAGGTTTACAGAGGATCTTTAGGCTTTGAAAATAGCTTCACAAAGAATAGCATAAATATAAATACAAACAGAAGCATAAAAATTGTAAAAATAGTCAATCTGATGCTACTTTTAATAGCAGACGGTGATATAAGTACAACAAAGGAATGCTAAAATGAAAATAGAAAATAGGAGAGTTGTACCAGGAGACGCCTGTTTTACATCTGGGACACACGACTGGCTGAGTGAGCCCTTTGGGTCACAGGAGCAGGGGATGCAGGGGTTGTCTTCCTCCGGGCCAACCTGTATAGCACACATAAATAAATAGAATTAGATTCTTGATGATTATTACATTAAATGAATGAACCCAAATAGCCAAATCAAATAATTTGTCAAGGAAATATGTGAATTTGTGCTTGATCTGAATTGATGTAAAAACCTTTCATTTCTTTACACAGTTTTCTAATGCATTTAAAACATTTAAGGCTCAACTTAACAGATCATAATATACTGAGCGTTCAACTCACAACCCAGATCAGTGACTACAAAGATTGATTCAAACAGTCAAGTCCTACTAGCTCTAATTATATTTATATAGATTTAGAGTGTAGTACAGAAGTTTTGTATTGACTTCATTAACCTTCCTTCTTCTAGGGCTGTTAGTCGACTAAAAATCAGTCTTGAGTCCTGCGGATTGATTAAGTCCTGCGGATTGATTCATCAACTAAAAAGGGCTTTACCTTTGGCAAAAGCTCTCAGAAGTATTCGAATCTAACTTAAAACTACTGTATCAGAGAGGTACTATTGATATGCATCTCCATAAGGGAAAAGGCAGATTAAACTTCCCAGTCACAAATTACTCAACAAAAAAAAATGCTGGTCAAATAAGACACCATCAACCAATTAATCAACTTAAGGACTACAGCCGAACAGTCTTCACTGGGGCTGGGTATCGATATGATACATACCTCGATACATAGGCCACGATACAATACATATTTCAATACAGTGAGCTTTCGATTCGATACGATATATTTCAAATCAATTCGATACGGTTCAATAAAAATTATGGCTAAATGATGGTTGTGATACTGAAAGTCTTTGTGTAAAGTTCATATAAAACACACTCATTTTAATCATCAAAACATTGAAAAGGTCAAATGTGTTGCATAAACAAGTTTCCTTCCTCTAAACAAGCAACAAAACTCTAACTCTGTAACAAGATAATTTAGTAAAATATACCAAAAAATACTCTTGGTGATATATCAATACAGCAGTCCCCGATATCGATACTGTATCATCACATTAAACAATACGATATATCAATATTTTGATATTTTTGCTCACCTCTAGTCTTCACCAACTATTTTTCTCATTTTACCAAAGTGAACAACATGTCATTTTGAACACATTTCTTCTAGATTATTTTCTTGTACACAGATTCATACCTCCTCTGGTCGGTAGTATCCCTGCACACAGCTTTGACAGTTAACACCATCAGTATTGTCACGACATTCCACACAGACTCCGCCCCCTCTGTACTCTCCGCGTGCGTCCAGGCTCAGGAACAGGTCGGCCACAGTCTGATTGTAGTAGCACTCGTCTGCTTTGCCATGGCAGTTACACTCTGCAAATATAAAACACTTAATACAAGGCAAGCTGCAGTGCGTTTGATAGGAGTGTGAAGTACAATGTTTACTGCGGTTTCTAATCCACTTACACACTCACAACTGGGCATAAAGTCTTTGCAATAATAACCAAAGGCTTCAAGCTATGTGGGTGTCTCTTTGAGCTATTTCTTATTTGTACTCACAAACAACACAACCTAATGTTTTTATTCAAGGTTCTTCTCAAGACCAATGCAACTCTTAAGAACTTAAAGAAAGAATGGTTAAAAGAAGAAGTGACTGAAGCTGAAAAGTGGCATTTAACCACAATACCGTACTTCCAACCTCATTCTTACTTCCGTGGGATATAAAGTCCCTCCTTTGTCTTACTGAATTAGTTGCATGTCATTACTCTATCTTTACCAAGCTCAATAAACTGCTAACACACTTCTGCTTTAGTATAAAGGTGCACTGGGATAAGGTGTAACTTTTCTGGGGTCCATCACATGCTTGATTAATTATTTTATATTGTTTACTTTTTGTATGATGCACACTGCAAAACCCAAACAGCACATCTTTATAAGAAAGCGTAAAATGGGATAAGAAGTTGCATAGTATATGTTTTATGAATTAGTTTGAAAAATACAGAGAGTCTGGGCAGGTCCTACATAAGTGAGGTGGTTTCATTTTTCAGTTTGCAAAATGTAAAGTTTGTGTCCATTGTCCTTCTGAGATGATTCTTTAGCAGATAACAGCGATGTAGAAGTTTGTAGCAGATTTCCCATTGCTTGTTGGTGATGACACATTTGTGAGGTTATGTAAGTACATTTTTCCATCGAATATTGTCAGTAGAGTCGGGCTGCTAACAGCGCACGAGTAGGGCTCCATTTGGGAGTTGCATTTGTGGTGATAGTCGCTCTTTTTCCACAGCGACTCATTATAAGACAAGTTTAATTGAAGATGAAGCCAAGTAAGTGACTTTTGAAAAGATTTTTAAAATTTGGTGCGCAGCGTCTTCACTTACGCCCGCTCAAGATGCCATCTTCGGGTGCTGGCACTATCCTGCTGTTTCCCCAGTTTAGGCTCCTGGCTCCACTAATGATATCACTCTTTTGCAGCTAATGAAACAGCGGTAGGTGTAACCCTGTTGTCATATCACTGAATATATCTCAGAACGTCTAATAAACAAAATGTGAACTAAAAGTGTTAAATTAATACTACTGAGTTTGGAAAAATATTGGAATAAATTTATGTTTATTAAAATAAAATGGCAAATATTGGTTGGGACCATTTTGCGTTCCCCAAATATTGGTTGTGACATGTCCCCACCATCCGTATGCAAACATACACCCTTGCAGGTAACACCGCCAGGCCAAGTTACAGGTCAGATCTGTGCTGAAGTGATCTCGCTAACAGTAAGGATTTTTTGAGCAATAAAAGACCTGTAATTGAAATAAGATAAATAATACTATACAGTGTAACATCACAGAAAAAGAAATAACATCATGGAGACGAGCAGGCAGTGTACACTCCACCAGAAAAGCTGCGTCTTTAAGTCTCTTCTTGTTGAACTATACGGTATGCAAGATTCCCTATGAGCAGTTCACATTTGTATGAATTTGCCCCATGTTTTATAGCTGTGTATAAAAACAACACATCATTTATCACAGGCCAGCAGAGGCAGCACTTATCAGGCGGTGTGACGAGCGGCTCGGTTGGGGAAGTGTAATGATGATTATATGTTGTAACCTCCGTTTTATGGTGACAGTGAAGCGCCTCTCACCTCCGCACCGAGCGCTGGAGGTTAATGGATGTACGGGGCGACGCTCAAGGATTCATAAAGTGCTTTATCATACGCTCATGGGGCTGTGATGAGGAACGCGTAAATGTGGAGCACCCAGGAGCACCCAAGGCCACTCTGCTCGCCAACCTCTATCAGAATGAATCAAATAGAATAGAGAAATGGATAGATTAACATGTTTGGTGATGTATGTCTTCTAGGATTTGATGAGGTGAAATTTTCAAATGCAGTGCAGCGTCGGCAGCGATGCAGTCGCTGTATCGAACCGTTGTGGTGAAGAGGGAGCTGAGCTTAAAGGCAAAGCTCTCAATTTATCATTCCTCACCTATGGTCATGAGCTCTGGGTAATGATGGAAAGGATGAGCTAGTAGATACAGGCGGCCGAAATGAGTTTCCTCCGCAGGGTGGCTGGGCGCTCCCTTAGAGATAGGGTGAGGAGCTCAGACACAAGGGAGGAGCATGGAGTAGAGTCGCTGCTCCTCCACATCGAGAGGAGCCAGCTGAGGTGGCTTGGACATCTCTTCCGGATGCCTCCTGGGCACCTCCCACGGGAAGTGTTCTGAGCATATCCTACTGGGAGAAGGACCCGGGAAAAAAGCCATGACACGCTGGAGGGACTATGTCTCTCAGCTGACCTGGGAACGTCTTGGGGTCCCCCCGGAGGAGCTGGAGGAAGTGTCCCGGGTGGAGGAAGTCTGGGAGTCCCTGCTTAACCTGCTTCCTCTGCAACCCGGTCCCGGATAAGCGGAAGAAAATGGATGGATGGATGGAAATTTTCAAATCAAGAACAAGTAGCAATTTTACTTTAAGGATGGTAGTGATTAATAATACTAAAATAACGCATTCATTTTATAAAGCACTTTTCCAGGTGCTCAAATTTACGTTACAGTTTCAGGCAATATTCATTCTATATTGGGTGGTACAACTGTAGGCACAGCTGCCTTGGGGTAGACTGACAAAGGTGAAGCTGCCAATCTGCTTCATCGGGACCTCCAACCACCACCAATCAATCACACATCATATTCATAGTTGGCAAGGTGGATGAAGTGTCTTGCCTAAGGACACACCAACTCTACGCACCAGACCTACTTCCCAGTGGTCTCCCATCCACGTGCTAACCAGGCCAAAGCCACTGAGCTTCCAAGATCAATCCACAAATGTTGAACCTCAAATTGTCTATTGGTATTTCACGTCCACAAACTTACTTTCACAGACATGGCGGGTGATGTAGGTTCCGGCCATCCAGGGTTGCTGGTTGTATCCCGGGCAGCACCGGTCACAGCTTTCCTCCACAAGTGTTGTGTTCACACTCACAGCTGAACTTCTGTAAACAGACACATGATAATAATGGTTAGAAATTATACTGTGAGTTATGCCACATTTTCCTACATGGAACGGCCACTGCATTTCTGAGTAAATACTCACAGTGTCTGTTGTGCTTAGTTTATAAATGATTATTTAGTTACCTTGGCCATACTTGAAATTACTTGAAGTTTTTCTAAGTTCCAGACATTGTATTCTGTGTCTTGAAGCGGAACTAAACATCTAAACTTCGTGCACGACCATATTTCAAATAGAGCTGCAAATAGTTGTCTCTAAGTTTTCCCCACGATGGTTCTGTCAGCTACAACTTTCAAAAGCATCCTCCAAGTTGAGAAGTATAATTGCAAACCACTCTAGCACCGTGTACTTCAAATCTCATCATTTTTGCTGTTAATTTGAATTGCCTATTACCCCGTTATTTCTGGATTTAATAACGCGCATTACGTCACTGATGAAAAAGTCCTCACTCTGTCTCTCCCTTGTTAATCCACGGGAACATTTTAATGTGCATTATGATAAACGACATGATGCAAACAAAAGCCTGTAGTAATAGGTGTATGCCGTATCAGCACATTCTTATCAAAGTGAAAATGGATTGCTACAAACAGGTAATGGCCAATATGCGTGACCTATTGAAAATCTATCACGCGCGGGGCTGTATTCACATGCTGCCAAGTGTAATGAAAGAACTCGCTTCACATCGTCGGCCAGTAGCAAATGGGTTCACTACTTTTCCCCCAGGAGCCAAATAAATTCAAAACTAAACGCCGAATGTAGCTGGAAACGCGCCAGTCGTAGTTCAGTGATTCAATTTAGGACTTTGTGTAAATTGCTTGATGGTTTGACGGCAGAGGGGCTTGCCAACGGAGTACAATGGGCGAGAGAGAGCCAAGTTTGTATCTACAGAGAGAGGAGTGAGAGAGTGAGAGAGGGCTGAGGCTTTTATCTCCACCGCCGAGGCTCCAGGCTGCCTTTGTGCTGAGCCTGCACCATAACAAACACAGAGGAGGAGATCATCAACAAATCATCCCTCAGGTCCCCACCTTCTCTGCTGTCTGAAACCATGCCCGGACTAAACTGCGCGCATGTACAAAGTTGTGAAAAGTGAAAAGTCTGTTGGGATATACTGTATGTAGGCAGTAAAAACGCCTTAAATATGAAGGAAGTGTAAGGAAAGTATTTGTGTGTATGACCCAGGTTTCATTTACGAAATAGAAAGATATGTGGGTGTTAAAATGTGTTAAACAAAGCCTTTGCATTGCACTTATTATGCTTGTTAGTTTTAGTGGTCATAAATCTGGACAAAACAGACACAGCAAAGCCTCATAACATCATTACACTGTATTATTATCTCAATATATAACAATTTGGTGCATGGTGCCTTTCAACCTGATGTAATAGTTAGGGGTGTTCATTATGGTATGAACCTCACAGTGCGATATTTACTGCGATATCATGAGGAAAGCTCACGATATGGTGTGGAGGCTCATGATTAAGGATGTAGCAATATCCAAATCTCTCGGTACGATATTTTCACGATATATATTGGCGGTGTGCAAAAATATTAAAATATCAATATATCGTATCGTTTAATGTGATGATACAGTATCGACATCGTGGGCTGCTGTATCGATATATCGTCAAGAGCATTTTTTTTTTGTATATTTTACTAAATTATTTTCTTACAGTGCTACAGTTTTGTTGCTTGTTTAGAGGAAGGAAACTCGTTTATGCGACACATTTGACATTTTCACTGCTTTGATGATTAAAATGTTTGTGTTTCTTATGAACTTTGCACAAGAAGTGGTTTAACAAAGACTTTTAGGATCACAGCCATGATTTAGCCTTTATTTTTTATTGAACCATATCGAATCGATTTGAAATATATCGTATCAAACTGAAAGTGCACTGTAGGTAGGTATCGTAACGGCAACTTCTTAATGATACCCAGCCCTAATATACATCTCACGGTACGATATTTATTACGATATTTTGTGGAGCAAACAAAACTGCAACTTTTTCCTCTTAAAATGCCTTGACAAGACTTAATCCAAAGAACAAAGACGCAAAAGTGCTTAGAACTGTTATTTCTTCTTGTAGTCTGCACTGAAACTGAGTAAAGGATCATGGTCTATGTAGTTCTCTCTGTCTTTTTTTTAGCTGTTGCTGCTCCATAACTCTTAATTTAAGCAAAGAGACTTGTAATTCAGTATATTGTGATAGTCCACGATGCTATTGTGAGAACTTTGATGATACAATATCACAATATTTTGATTATTGTTACATCCCTAGTAATAGTATATTGCAAAGAAATACCTGTTTTTTTACAAGTTTATAAAAAATACTCCTACTTATTGAAACAAATTTCCTTAGAACACGACAGAGCCTTTTCCGCTTCAACGCCCAGACTGTGAAACAAACTTCCTCTTCCTGTCAGATCCTCTCAGTCTGTAATACAGTTTAAGACTAGACTGAAAACTCACCGCTTCTCCCTGGCATTTAATACGAGCTAGTCAGGTCATCATGTTTTTATTGTAGTTTTCACATGTTATCTGTATATATGTATATGTATATGTGACTGTATGAGAAGCACTTTGGTCAGATGAAGTTGTTTTAAATGTGCTAAATATATAAATAAACTTGAACTGAATTGAATATAAGCTTACTGTTTCTTTCTATGCAGGACAGTTTTTTACAGAAATGCATATACTTTACTTGTTACAACTGTATTTAAACTTTAGACTTGAAATGTGCTATCACACTTCGCCTATTTAGATTTTTAAGATGACTGTGACGCTTAACTTATCCTTATAGATCCTTTGATTACAAGTGCATTCAAGCCTAAAAAGTATGACTCCTCTGTTTTGTTTTTTTCACACACCTCCAGCTCTTATTGCCTGTGACATCATCACCGAGGGACCAGACCTGGGTGTCAGGTCTGAGGTAGCCTTGGCGCTTCAGCCCGGGGACATGTAAAGGACACAAAACTCTCCCTCCCTCTCTCCCTCTTCTATCTCTCTGTCTCTGTTTGAGTGTGAAAGCCCAGGTAGCGACGGGGGAGATCAGGTGTCTCGAATCAAACGCCCCTCTGTTTGAAGTGACATTTGAGACAGTGCTTCTCGGTGTCACCTGTGTCCCTGCTACACACACACACGCACACACACACAACTCCACGTCTGATACCAGGCGAGGTGGATAAAAAGCTCTTGCCCGGGGCCAGTCTTTGCTCTCAGTGTAAGGGGGAGAGCTCCATGACTGCTAGGTGAGGTGGAGAGGGAGAAAAATGCCGGTTCGGTCGGGTACCTTTGTTTCCATGTTGAGCGGGCAGGCTTTGGCGTGGCCGTAGCAGATGCACATGCCTCCCACTGAGATGTCCTTGATAGAGTAGTAATACTGAAACAGAGGGAACACAAGGGGGAGATAAGGGTGTGATTTTGTCAGCACTGGTTTGTTATTTTGAGGCTTTTGTTTAGAAGGAAAGTTCATAAATACAGAAATCATAAAACATTTGTAGATTTCAGAAAAAGTGCTAAGGTAAGGAACAACTTATTAATTATTTTAATGTGAAACAGGATTTTTATTTTCATTTTTTTTACATTATTTGGTAAGACGCCACTAAAAATCCAATCTTCTAGAATTTTTTTGAGGCAAGGATATTGTGAATAAAATAAAGCAATTACCCATGAACAACAATGAACTTCATTACATGATGTACACGTGGTGGAGTTGTGTGAATCTATTGTAAAGGAAAATTGGTTTCCAAATGTTTACCTGACTGAATAAATGTTAAAAAATTTTAAATTAAAATATAACTTTATTTGTCAAATTCACATTACCATATTATTAGTATAGTGTATTGTGTTACAGGTATAACTGATACATAACTTAGCAAAACATTAAACAAAATTAGTTAAATAAGTTCACAAGCAGTGAGAGTGAACAATGAGAAGCCAATTTTACTTTAACATACTGTGCAATTAACTCTGGCCATGTGAAAAGGTGGTGACATGATTACTCAATGCTCTCATTAAAACAAACATTCAAACTGGTGAAGCTTTTGTATTGTATTGTGTTGTGTGTGTTAAAATGTAATCTGGCACACTCTAAAATAAATATGTAATGTTCATATAATTGCCCCTTTTCATGTTGGGCTAAAAAGAAAATTAGGCCTATTCAAGGTATTTCTCTGCTGAGACGTCAGCCTGAAAAATGGTGTCAGGTACTGTAATTATTTATATAAACATTGAATTCATCTGCTTTTTCTGTTGGTAACTGTGCCTGAAGCTTATCTTATGTGGCCAAGGGAACTAACAAACTTCTTTTTTACATTTTCTGTTATGAGAAGTATTCAGAAGCTTGTTTGTGAATACCTAAAATGCTTCCACTGGGATTACATTGATAATTAATACAGTCAGTGCATGAATATCTGGCAATATGGTAAAACTAACTCAACTCAAGTACTTCGGATGTTTTTCAGATCCCACATTTCTATGTTGGTATGTGTTAAGATAAATCTCTGTTCCTCTGTGTACGTTTTACCGCTTTTGAATGAATTTCAACTAAGCTTTGAACAGTATTGAATTATCACTTGTAAAAAAATAAATAAACGAAAGGAGGGCATGAGATATACAGCAGATAAATAAGCATAGATTTATGAATAAAGCTTATTATTAGACATCGACGATCCTAATTGTTTAGAAAACAGAGAAACCAGTAAGATTTGATGATGTTTTTAAATATATAGGCACTGGTTTTGATTATTTTTCCCTAAATAACATTTTAATTTACTAAAAACTCACCCTCAGCCCCTTTACCACAAACTGTGCAGTCACATTTTGTATAGCTGTTTTTAGCAATGAAGTGTTCGAATTAAGTTGTGTGCATATTCATTAGGCAGCAGGTCGGCAAAAACAAAATATCGACCTGTGCTGAAGATTTTAGGCCAAGAGCCAATTCTTCTAAAAAGTACAAATAGTGGCACAAATTGGTCTATTTACTTATTATCAGATACATCTTACTGTACATGACTGTGAACCAGAGGTGGGGCCAAGTCGTTGTTTTGCAAGTCAAGTAAGTCTTTGACCTCAAGTCCGAGTCAAGTCCCAAGTCAAATACAGACAAGTCCAAGTCAAGTCCAAGTCGTCTGCTTTGAGCTTCAAATCATTTCAAGTCTTTAAACCAAAGCATCAAATATAGCATAGATTTTTGCAATTTATATGACTTTTAAGATAAATTGAGCTTAAAAAAATCATAGTATATTTATATATGAGTATTTATAGAGTATATGAGTTGAATAAGTATATGTAGTATAAGTATAAGAGTTGTAGAAACGTAATTTTTTTCTTTTTTCTTGACATGATCTTAGTGTGAATCATTACGGTCAGAATAGAAAGAATTCAGATTTAAAAGTGCTTCTCAAGTCTTCTCAAGTCACAGGCCTCAAGTCCGAGTCACGTCCCAAGTCACTGACCTTCAAGTCCAAGTCGAGTCCCAAGTCTTACCCCATTTTATCAAGTCAAGTCTCAAGTCCTAAAAATAGTGACTCGAGTCTGACTTGAGTCCAAGTCATGACTTGCAAGTCCCCACCTCTGCTGTGAACTATTACAAAATATTGAACTAAGCATTTGGACCAAAACTTTTTAAAGGAACAGACACTGACGCATTTCAGCTCAGTCAAGGTGAAAATACTTGGCCATAATAGATAGTAATAAATAATTTAAAAATATGACATTGTAAGTACCCTGAAATATGGACATAATTACATCCCTAAAGAGACAAATTAAATGCATTTCCTTGTAGCTGGCTGAAAACAGAACCAGGTGCTGTGAGAATCAGACTGCCTGTGAGAATCAAACTGTCTGTCAGGTGTGAAAGAAGTGTTTTGTCTCACCCTCCTCGTCACAATGGGATCGATCTCTTTGGGGTCGTGCAGGGTCAGGGTCATGAGGTCGGCGTTGAGGGTCCGGATTCGCTGGAGCACCAGGCGGATATAGCGCGCCGAGGTGAAGTTCAGCAGGGTAGGGGAGGGGTCATCAGCGCTGGGACGCCCGTTGATCAATGAGGTGTGGATCTATACGAGAGAGGCAGATTAATAATGACAGAGAGCGGGTCACAGCAAGAGCAGGTGCCACGGCAAACAGCGGAGGTGCCGTTAGGGTCCCACAGGAGCGTCAAAGTGAGGCGGGGAAATCTATACAAGACAAATAAAAGGAAAGTACAGCAATCAACAGAAAAACTACAATAATAGTAACATACATTTAAATCTACCGGTACAAATTGTATCTTTAGTTTTAATAACTATGAATAAAGACTGGACTCAGAGCTGCATATAATACAAACCTGCTCAAATATCAGAGCCATGCTAATCTTTACTGTCAGCTATGGTACTGACAACAACAAATGACAACAGAGAAAAGTCTGGCTTTGCTGCAGTGAGCTAACGCTTATCAAAAACAAATAAAAAGTGTCAGAAACCGTCCATGTGTATGGTAATCTGTACTTACTGCTTTAACTGAGAAAAATCACTATTCTCTCAAACACAAATATTGGGTGACCACATTTTCTAAATCAAAAACTGGGACACCTCCGGTCTGGAGTGGTTGGTAGTAATAAAATAGTGAAATGAGTGAGTAATTAAGGAAAATTGTTCGGCACTCGACCCATTCTTGACTTCAGGACTAACATGTGAGTCAGTATAGTCACATTTTCTTTGTGTTTCGGTAATTTTTAAGTAGTTTCTCTGTATTTTACCCATAGACTGTATACATGAGTGGACATAGGTAACACATTAACCGCCATATGCCAAATGGGAAGTTCGCCAGGAGGCTCTTCCAGCTCTTCTAACCCTGGCTCCAATTGACTCTGGAATCTTGTCGCTCCTCTCTCTGTAACTGCTGCTGTGAGCCTCGTCATTTTGGTCATAAAATGTTTGTATTAACCTGCTCAACATGCTCCTGAATTTTTTTTTTTTCTTTGTCTGTCAAAAAAATCCTATTCATAACATAGAGCCTGGATCCAGATTCGCTACTGTAACCGTGAGCATTGTGAGCCTCATTTGAGTGGACCTGAAATGCTATGGGTAACGTCACACTCATTTAGTCCACTCTTTTATACAGTCTGTGGTTACAGGTCAAACATGGACAGTAAAAAAATCAACTGAAATCAACTGAGAAGTATCAGAAACCATTCATGTGTACGGTAACCTACACTTACTGCTTTAACTGAGAAAAAGCACTATTTTCTCAAACACAGACATTGGGTGACCAGATTTTCTAAATCAAAAACTGGGACACCCCTGGTCTGGTGTGGTTGGTACTAATAAAATAGTGAAATAAGTGAGTAATTAAGGAAAACTGTTCGGTACTTGGTCTATTCATGACTTCAGGACTAACATGTGAGTCAGTATAGTCACATTTTCTTTGTGTTTTGGTCATTTTTTAGGCAGCTTTTCTGTATTTTACCTAAACAAATGACAAATCAGACAAATCAGTTGGTCCAAAATAGGCGCAGCTCATGAGCCCTGGTCCTCAATTTTTATTTTGGTCCCATGGGGGGGGATAGGTGTAGGATGGCCACTGCCTGGGACATTTCTTGTATAAAACCATCACCAGTTTTGTATAAATCTGCTAGGACAGGGGACACACGGCTCAAAACTGGGACTGTCCCGGGGAAAAAGGGACGTCTGGTCACTCTACACAGACATATTCTTAAGACAAAACATTAGCATTTCATTTTAGCTTTGGTAGCCTAGCTTTACCTTCACTCGTCTTATGAACACCAGATATTTAGGTTAATTTCTTACCACTCAGCGCATATTTAGGCCTCCTACTAACTTTTATAATGAGAAGAAGTTTTAATATTGTGTGTGAAAATAAATAAATATTATTATTAAGCACTTAAGAGTCTAACCTTCTCAATACGGGCTGTACCATCTCCTCTGGTGCATAGGGGTGGCAGGATATTTAAAACATGAACAGAGCGTTTCTCTTTGTCAAATTATCAATACAAGGCAAATATTATTTCTTAAATGTTTAATTTGCCAACTCCTTAAATGAACAAGTGTGGCTAAATAACACTGCATACATTAAAAATTTAATTATTAAAAAATAAACACCCTCCTCCTTTAGCTTGTGGGATCTTGAGCCGCTCCACAACACTAATCAGGCACCTGTTCCCACTGCACTGATGAACACATTGACCTATTTCAATAAAGAGCACGTTTTCAGTTCAATGAGAAACTTTTTATGAATATTATGCCACATTCTGTTGTAAATGTGTTCCATTGCAACAGTTGGGGAAAATACGAATGCCTGAGAAATTTTTACGTTTATTTTGTTAGCTTATGAATCCCATACATTGGTGACCCAAAGTGTTCGTTTTTTCCCCTTACATGTCCGTTTTTTGCGTCCTGTCCTGGGCGTCCGGGTTTTTTTTCATAAAGTGATGTAAATGTCCGGGTTTTCGTTATCTTTCATTGGGCCATTAAATTGAGCGTCTCTCGTAGCTCTCTGTGCACTCAGAAGGAGTGAGCAGACACAAACAGTCGGTCAATGAATTAACCTGATATTTTAATAACTTATCTTACTTTTTAGCCACAATGTGCAATATGTGACAATGAGCTACAATAAAAAGCAAAACATAAAAAAACACAACTATGTCCTAAAATATGCCTAAAGAAACTTGGCCTATAAACTGATCTATGTGAGTGAAGAGAAGAAAAGAAAAGAAAGGTAGGATGACGAAGGAGTAAAAAGGAAGATTAGAAGAGAAAGAGGAGATGAGGAGAGAGGAGGATGGACGGAAAAAGAAGAGGAGGAGAGAAGAGGGAATGGAGGAAAAGTGCTAGTGACACACTGCCAACCGTTCTTTAGAGTTTCACTGTGATCAGAGTCTGCTGCAGAGCTATCATACACTACAAACACACACAAACACTGGGTGACCTCACATTGACTTGCATGCATTTCCTTGAGACTGATCCTAACCATAAACACAGTTACTACTTGCCTAATCTCAACTTACTGCACCTTTAAAGGGACAGTATTGAATTATGGACACAGGATATCATTTCCTAGTGTTGGAGACGTGTGGAGACACTTTTTAAAATATTCCATCCAGTCCTTGTATTTGCAGAGGTCGCTGGTGCTAGGCTAGTGCATGTCAATGGACATAGTTATCCTGCCACTAAAAACAGTCTTACCCACTCCACAAAACACCCGAAACAAATCTCTTATTACACCAGACTGTCGATGTGAATGTCTGTGTCGATAGAATCATTTTAGAAGTAAAACCAACCTTGCATTTGAAGGTTTTATGTCTGAGCAGCAGCAGCGAGTTGTACTTCCTGATTGAAAGCTCAGCAGTGGCGAACTGATATCACCTAGCACATGGTTCTCCAACCTTTTTCCTCCGGTGAGCTACCTTTACAGAACAAAAATGCTAGAGAGCAAAAAATATCTATGGAGATTCACAAGTTTATGGTCATACTATGGAACATAGGCACTAAGTCTAAGGTCTAAGTTACACAGTGCACCTTTAAATCATTTGTTGTTCTGATAATAAAGGATTTACGTCATGAGGACACAATTCATGTCCTCATAATGAAGACAGGTAATCATGATGTGAGTTTGTATAGATTTTAGTCCCTACTATGTGATAAAAACTCATTCATACAAGTAAAAGACCTGGGTACTTTCTACAGGAATACAAGAAAATGATGTACTGGGGATGAAAAAGCTGAGAAGTAATGATAGACTCGTTCAATTCATAACAAAAAATATTCCTTTTACTGTGAAATTGCTTTCTGTTGTCAAAGCTTGGGTTTTGCAGTACTGTTCCTCATCTTTTACTAACATATTGTAGGATAAAGTATTTGATATTTTCATACACAGCTATTCCTGCATGATCACACGTATTATTTATTAAATCAGATGCCCTTTCTGATATTAAACTTCTCCATCATCACATCGACACGACTCTTTGTTTTTAGACTCCTGTGAGCTTAAAGCCGTGGTGTAATGTTGTTATTGGATCAAAAACAAACCTGGGGGTGTGTTTTTTTTCATTCAGTTTTTACATTTCCAGAAAGCTCTGTTCCACCTTGCGATGTCATGAAGCGATACTTTTCAAGTTAACAGCTCCTTTTGTTTAGGGTTAGGGTTAGGATTGGCAGTTCCAAGACTGAAATCATCTAAATGATTCTAGTGAGGATGTATGGAGTTTATCAATACTTAATGTTAGGGTTCATTATCAAATTCATTATCACAGTTATTTTTGGTTATATTGAAATTACACGATGCACTTATTTAGCATTTCTCTCTCTCTCTCAAAAACAAAAAAAACAAAACTGAAAATAAATACAGGCTACAAATATGTACCTTAGAGCAATTTTGCGATGTATAAAGCATAAAATGAATAAAATATACTCTGAACATGAAATAAGACATAGAAAAACATAAATGTATCCGTAATAAACTATATATCCAGCTTTTCTTCAATCTCGGTATTTAAAAAAAATAATAATAAAAAATCTTATTTACATAAAAAATATCCCAAAATGAATCAGTTTAAATTGATTACATGAGTTTGGAGATCGTGTGACACACAAATCGAAATTGTTTTTAGTTTGAGAGGCGAACCTGGCCTAAAAATGCAGGGTTTGTGCATTAAACAAGTGCAAATGAAACAAAACACAACTTCAGGTATGTTTTTGATGATTAAATTAAATGATTAAATCCACATCTTTACCATTACTTGTTAAACATTGTTGGGTTAGTGATAATAGTATAAAAACAACCACACTCATGGGTCACAATGTTCCTCATATACACAGTACTCACACTACCAATGCAGTACCACGAAACATCTAATGAACTTGTCCCGGTCTCGGTCTCTCTGTACCCCGACTCTCCTCCACCCTCCTCCACACCCACAGAAGCAGACAAGTCAGGCAGCAGCTCTTGACATCTCCAGCTCACACCCCCTCATCCAGCTCTCCTCTCCTCAAAAAGCGTGGTCGCGGTACACACATTTAGGCTTCAATAATTAGAAGATATACGCTGGTGCACGGACAGTTTGTTTTTCTCTTCATTAATGTCAGTTAAGAAAGCCAGCGGGTGTCTGAGCAATCGTGTACGCAAGTGATCAAAGAGGCAGAACAGTAAACAGCAATACACCAATGTGGGTCTTATGTAAACTAGCAGCTTCAGTGCAACTTCAGTGTAACAGTGTATTTTGGACTATAAGACATTACCTGGTGAGATTTTTTTCCCCATTTAGTTTACATTTACATTGGACACTTAAGGGCTAGTAAGTTACATTTCTTAAGAAGCTGTGGTTCAAAAATTATGTCTACAAATATGAAATACAAAAATCTTAGACCAAAACTACAAACATTTTATAAATTATAAATTGTGTGAAAATCCAGTTTGGTCTTGTTCTCGTAGACCTGCTCTCATATCTTGTCTTGTATAGTGAAAATTGTGTCTAATCCCACTCCTAGTTACCGTATTTTCTTGGACTATAAGGCACACTTAAAATCCTTTAATTTTCTCAAAAATCGACAGTGCGCCTTATAATCCAGTGTGCCATATGTATTAATTCTGGTTGTGCTTACTGACCTCGAACCGATTTTATGTGATATGCTTTATTACGACTTTATGTGGTATGTTTTAGTACGACTTTGGTAAACTACGAAGCCGCACCACTTGATGGGTTGTTGGAGCATTACGGCTACCGTAGTCAGGAGTCTCGCGGAGTAAGTTTGAAAGATGCTGACCGCATTAGCGCACATGGATCGAGTTGTTTTTTCAGTGCTTATAGTTTATGCAAAATATCCATGTGGTTTTAAGTTTTGTTTCTATAAAACAAAAACAAATGTGTGCAAAGCTGCATTAAACACATTATTACTCAATGTATATTTGAGTCCTCCTCGTAGGAAATAAAAAAAAAACAAATTTAAATTATCCACCCACGATCTGCCAATGGATCGTGGATTCCTGGGCTAAGGGATCAGTCGCAAGTGTCGTCCGTTTGTTTTGCTTAATGCGCCTTATAATCCGGTGCACCTTATGTATGAAAATAGATGAGAAAATTCAACATTATTGATATTACGCCTTATAATCCAGTCCAAAAAATATGGTATTTGTTTAACCTAATCATTTTTATAGCAGATATGAAAATAAGTATGCAGTGTAAAGCTGGATTATGTAACACCTATTTTGATGTAGGATCCACCACCTGTTTCTCTTTACACATATTACATATTATTACGTTGCCAAGAATGTTCAACATATGGCATTATATCTATCTCCATAGAAACAAACTGGTGATTCTACCCAGGCCACGTTACAGTGGAATGGAAGTTGATTTTCTTTTACAACATCTTTATAGAGACAAGTAGGTAGCACCAGCACCAGTAAATGTATATAGTGCTTTCTTAATTCCATTGACTCCATAGGTCCCCAACAAACTCTTGTTGTTGTTCCAGTGCCTACATAACCTTCAGTATAAAGCATCTATCTGTTAACATCATGCCGACAATAGCCGTGGTGCTAATCTGTCAATCCTCAAGGACAATCAAAGCATTCAGAAGAAAAGTGAGATGGCCACAAAACATTTCTTCCAATTTAAAGTTACAAACCATGAAAAGTGATTGTAAAAGTTTTTCAGTGAAGCAAAACTTTTTAATATGATGCGTTCTAGAGAGTATATAGTCCAAAGTGTTACCTCTCCGTTCTCCAGAGGGTGGATCTTGGAGTAGAAGGAGGTGCAGATCACTTCGTCGTCTCGCGTGTAGGAGGGGGGGCCGGTGCGGGGGGTGATGTTGAAGCGTGTCAAGCACTCGGTGTCCGTGATGGCGTAGTACTGCCAGGGTTCATAGGTCACGCCATCGATCGAGCGCTCCAGGACCCAGTTTCCTGAGGGATGCACAAACATGGGAGTATGGATAAAGAAGCCATGATCAGCAGCTTCCAAATGCGTGACGTGCTGACGACGATCGATGAGGAGCAATGTTAGGTCAAAAGCAAAACGCATGACAAAACGGTTTTGTTCAGATGGCGGAAAAATTCGGTTAATAAAAAAAAAAAAGTGTATATGGGAAGTAAAATACAAAATAATAACATTCAAGTACAGTGGATGTTTTACATTTATTTCACTACATTGAGAGCAGGTATTTGTACTTTTTACTCCATTTTTTTTTTTTTTACTAGACTGAAAAGTAGAACAAATCTTGAAATTTTGCTGAAATTAAAACAGCTTAAAAAAAACAAAAACAAATCGATTTAATTGTTTTTGTTGAACAAAAATCAACACAATTCATAATTACGACAATTGATGCTTTAAAACATCTCAAAATCCTCAAATTTTTGTTCATTGTTGAGCAGACTTACCTGGCCGTGGGGAGTTTGCAGCTTTTATTATGACGTAAGCAATCTGGAAAACCTGTAAAAACAATAGAAAAGTGTTATTTGAAGTTGAAATACAAAATATGGGGTAGACAAAACAATATTGGTTAGACAAAAGCATGTGATACAATTTGCGACTATTCATTTTGATAAAATACGAGTACATTTGGAAACCTAAACTCAAAATAAAGCTAACTCAAGTTACACCCTAGTTTGGAGAATTAAAACATTTACGACAATCTATTTTTCTAACATGGTCAAGTTAAAGTCATTATAAGAGTATTTTAGAGTAGCCCCAATAGTTATAAAGAAAGAGATGTAACAGTCATAACCTAGAAGAGCAATTTAGTGCAAAATGAGACATATTAACAGTGTTGTTGGGGGAAAGAGAGAGACAAATCCTCTCCAGCTATGCTAAATAATTAGCCTGTGCTAAAGGTTAAGCTATGCAAAGTAGTCTGTAAGCTAGTGCCCCAATGATCATGAGGTATCATTTGCAACAGAAGAAGAGAAGGAATGAACGCTAGAAAACTAAATGCTGATTAGATGAGAATAATTGTATTTTTAGACACAATTTACAGCACTATCAAAGGTAATTAAATGTGAGTATTTAATAATGGAGGTCGGACTAAGTCGTAGTTTTGCAAGTCTCAAGTAAGTCTCAAGTCTTTGACATCAAGTCCGAGTCAAGTCCCAAGTCAAATACAGGCAAGTCCAAATTGAGTCTCGAGTCACTGGCCCATAAGTCCAAGTCAAGTCCAAGTCGTCTGCTTTGAGCTTCAAGTCATTTCAAGTTTTTAAACCAAAGTACCAAATATAGCTTAGATTTTTGCAATATATATGAATTTTAGATAAATTGTACTTATAAAGCCACAGTAGTGTATGAGTAGGAGTAGTAGGAGTGTATAAGAGTAGTAAAATTTTTCTTTTTTTTTTTTCTTTTTAAATGTCTTGACAAGATCTTAGTGTGAATCATTACAGTCAGAATAGAAAGAATTCAGATTTAAAAGTGCTTCTCAGGTCTTCTCAAGTCACAGGCCCCAAGTCTGAGTGAAGTCCCAAGTGACTGACCTTCAAGTCCAAGTCGAGTCCCAAGTCTTACTCCATTTTATCAAGTCAAGTCTCAAGTCCTAAAAACAGTGACTCAAGTCCAAATCATGACTTGCAAATCCTGACCTCTGACCTTTGATAGTGGTGGGTCATATCAGTGATTATTGTTTTGATCCAAAACTAAGCATTACTATGAAAAGTATCACAATACTGATCCTATACCAATACCATATGAGTTTTGTATTAAATGCACTCAAACTCCTCTATTCCAACCCAGCTTGTACTAATTAAATTAAATTCATGTGTAGATGAACTAAAATATAAACAATGCATTATTAAAATAGACATAACATAAGTAAGTATTCATAGTTTTTGCATGACAATTGATAATTTTTTAATTCTTGTCTATTGCAATATTTGGTATCGATACACACAGTACACTTTGTAAGTTGTCCATTAAGACATGCCGTAAATTAATAAAGGCATTTTATTTTAAACCAGTGAGTGCCTTGGGGTTTTTGCATCTTTAAATCGATACACCCAGTATTTAAGTGTCAAAAAATCATTAATATGCAATAGTTATGCAGCAAAATACCAGTTACAGTCCATCACTTTTACAGAGGAAATGACATAATTCCAAATAAAATAAAGTAGCCAGTTCCAATTGATGGAAAAAATAAAATAAAAACTGTATTCTATCAAGGCATTGTACTAGTTGTTTTGCCACGACCATAACTCACTGTCAAATTTTCAGATCTAAATATGCCACTTGCTGTTTGACACTTTCCCTGCACATATTTATTATTACGTTACATTTGATGGGAGGCTGTCAACAGTCAAAACCAAAACACGTGCATCAATGTAGGTCAAATCTCACCCGTACAAGGTTGCCCAGTGAGCCCGCCTCTTTTCACTCTGCGCGAAAAGCTAGTGTCACATTGCACCAATTAGAATAGGGATGGGAAAAAAAAACTAGTGAAATGTGTCTGTGGTAACCTTATAGCAGTCATTCAAAGCCCTTACAAAGCCTCACTGTTGGCTGTATTCTCCCTTATGCATGCGTGAGGGGGAGAGGAACTAGCTCTTGACAGGTAGGGGGGACAGCCAGGCAGCTCCTCGCAGCTAAACATAGAGCTGCACGGCTAACTAACTAACCCTGCACACGAGCATGCATGTTGTGTGTGTGCAAGCTTGTGTCAAATTGCACGTTTTGATCAGCTGAGGATGAGAAGAGGATAGTTTTACCCCGCGCAACTTCGCCATGAAAACAAGCGATGCAATAGAATAATAAGAAAGCGGGTAAATATGTGTAGCTGACATGTAGCAAGAAGCGAGGAGTTTGTGTTTCGTCAGCCAAAGCGCAAATTGTAATAGCAAGATTTGGGTTTTGAAGAAGTTCTTTTGATTATTTTCCCCAGTTGTGCTGCAGATCAGTTTGACAAATCTGAACTTGACAATTTTTTATTTCAGTTATGCATTAGATCATCCATATTTTTTTTTTGTTTTTGTTTTTTTGCAATACAACACCATACTTCATAAAGCATGTTCAGAGTAACACAAGAAAGACACTGCAGGCTTCATTCCACACTATATTTGAGAATCCTAAAATAAGAAACAAAAATGATATGTTCTAGTTCTTGGTAGTAGTATACAATGATGATCAATGCTGAAAATGTACAAGCTTAGAATTGAACCCCTGTAATACCAACGCAGTGACTACAGTACACACGGAGTTTAACAGTACACAAAAATCACGGTTAAGGTATCTCGGTTTGAAGTTCGGTTCATTTTCGGTACAGTATGGGATCATAATGCGAAATTATTTTCTTGTTGTTCATTTGTGTTTAAAAAAATAAAAATAAATAAATGCAAAATGCTGCTTGGTAATTACTAATAATTTATATAAAATATTCTCAAATAAGCAACAAATGTATGGAATATTATATAATTTTTTTAAAAAAAAATCCTTGTAAACAGTAAACAAAGCTTTTCAAAAAGTAAAGAGCAGGACTAACAGCAACATGAAGTTTTACTCAAGCTTCATATTTTTGACCAGAAAAACAACTTGTCCACATTGTCTGCAGTAAGTGCAGATGCAGCGAAAGGCGAGACTGAGGACCATGGCGCAATGAGCATACTTTTGCGATGGTTTAGAGGGACATAGTGAAAGCGGGGAGCAATGGCCACCTGTAGCTGCACATGTAGTGGCAGAATGTAAACATACACAAAGTGCGCGAACTCACTCGTGCACAATCCTGCACTGAACCAAACGTCCAGTACTGAAATGGTTCAGCACGAATACATGTACTGTTACACCCCTACTACACACACCTGTTTTATTTTTCATTTTCAATAGATTTCTCAAACTGAAAACACTCAGTTCTACCTTGTGATGTCATGTGGTAATATAAAAAGTGCTCCACTGCATTTTTAAACTCCATACACCTTCACTAGAATCATTTGGATGATTTCAGCTCCGAAAATGCCTATCTCTACTAGACTAAAGGTAAAAAGTAACTATTAACTTGAAAACTACCGCTTCTTGACTGCTTTAAAGTTCTTCTAACTGTGAGTCACAAATTCCATATTCAAATTTAGTTCTAATTGGTGAATAACCGTGCCTGAATCCAACTCACTCAATTTGGCATTTCTTATCCAACCAGGCAATGATGAGAAAACAAGAAATATTTCTCATGCTAATCTATCAACTTTCATATCTATGTGAATTTTTCTTTCTTTTCATTCTACGTAATAATCTTTGAGCACTGCTAAATGACTAAACCCAATCCAGTAGTGGGATGTCCCGCTGCTTAATGGACCATGAACTATTCATTTAGTCACAGTGTGCTCGGGACATGCAGTGACATCAGTTTTACAGCTGCTGGGGTTTTCAGACCATTCACATTTCAACTCTGCTGTGGTGGGACATCAACAATCTATCCCCACTTGTACTGGGAATTAGAGCTAGAGAAGTGGTTAGTAGTGAATGATATAATAAAATGTTTTTATTTTAAGAAACTATTTTTTTTGTAGTAGTACTTTTTAGGGACACGGTGTGGGTTGAGTGGATTTCAAGTTGGGGGTTTCTCTGTCAACCAAAAGCACGCACAATAGGCAGTGGTGAAATGTAAGAAAGTCAAAGTAGTAAAGTACTGTACTCAAGGGGAAAAAGTATCTGTACTTTATAGGGATGTAACGATATTCAAATCTCTCAATACGGTATTTTCACAGTATATATAGGCGAAAAAATTGTGAAAATACAACATATTCCTTTTAAAATGTCTTGACAAGACTTTTGTTCTGTCATAAACGAAATAATTAAGATTTAAACGTGCTTAAAAATGAAGACTATTATTATTTGTTGTATTATTTTTCATGTTGTGTGCACTGTAATGGAGCAAAGGATCATGGTCTATGTAGTTCACTCAGTTTTTTTTTAGCTATTGCTGCTCCAAAATAATGAATTTAAGCAAAGACACTTGTAATTCAATATATTGTGATGGCCCACGGTATTATTGTGAGACTTTAAACGATACGATATCACGATATTTCAGTTATTGTTACATCCCTAATACTTTACTTAAAGGTGCACTGTGCAAGTCACTTTGTTGTTTCTATGGAAATGTCATTGTTCTGCTTGAAATGTTCCACAGTATTACATTAAACAGATCACTTACATAGTAGTTCAAACAAGCAAATATCTAAATAAAAACATCTAGGAAAACATATAAATTCTGTTTTGTTCTGTTGAACAAAATTATTGAGCAAAATCACTGCATTTGAAGCCTTATTATCACAAAACTGACACAAAATACTTCTTACTTTTTACTCTTAAGTGAATTTTTAAGCACATAGTTTAATATTTGGGTTTTTTTTGTTTGTTTGTTTTTTTCCCGGCTCCAGTATATATTTTTTGTATCTGTACTTTAACTTAAATAACAAAACTGAATACTTCTTCCACCACTAACAATAAGACAATCCTTCAGG